AAAAATGAGAATCAAGACTTGTCATGTAGAGGTACAAGATCCCAACAATGAATGTAACTGTACTGTATCTCTAAAATGTACTAATAAACTCAATTAAAGCTGAAAAAAAAAAAAAGAAAGAAACACACCTAGTGCAAAAAGAAGCCCATAGACTGAAAGTGAAAGGATGGAAAATAATTCTCCATGCAACAGGAGTCCAGAAAAAAGCAGGGGTAGCAATCTTATTCGCAGACAAAGTAAATTTCAAACCAAAACTGATTAAAAGAGACAAAGAAGGCCACTATATCCTTGTAAAGGGAACAATTCAAGAGGAAGAGATGACAATTATAAACATATATGCACCAAATATTAATACCCCCAACTATATAAAACAAGTATTAAGTACAATGAAAAATCAAATAAGCACTAATACAATTGTAGTGGAGGATCTAAATACCCCACTATCACAAACAGACAGATCATCTAGGCAAAAAAATCAACAACAAAATACTAGAACTGAACCAAGCTTCTGAACACATGGACTTATAAGACGTCTACAGAGTGTTCCACCCCACAAAATCAGAATGTACATTCTTTTCGGCTGCACATGGGTCATTCGCTCCAAGATAGACCACATATTAGCTCACAGAACAGGTTTGAATAAATGCAAAAGAATCAAAGTTATTTCCTGTATATTATCAGATCATAGTGCAATTAAGCTGGAGATCAATAGCATAAGAAACCATAGAACTCCACAAACACATGGAAATTGAACAACACTCTCCTGAACAATCAATGGATCACAGAGGAAATTAAAGAAGAAATCAGGCAGTTTTTACAAATAAACGAAAATACCAATACAACATACAGGAATCTATGGGACACAATGAAAGCAGTTCTACTTGGAAAATTCATAGAATTGAATGCCCACACTAGGAAAACAGAACAAGCTCAAATAAACAACCTAATGATGAATCTTAGACTCCTAGAAAAACAAGAGCAAGAAAAACCCAAAGCTCATATAAGAGAGGAAATTATAAAGATTAGAGCAGAAATCAATGCAATGGAAACTAAGAAAGCAATACAAAAAAATAAATGAATCGAAGAGTTTGTTTTTTGAAATAAATAAAATTGATAAACCCTTAGCTAACCTTATCAAAAAAAGGAAAGAAAAGGCTCAGATCCATGCAATTAGGAATGAAAAAGGTGAGGTCACAACAGATCCAACAGAAATCCAGACGATAGTCAATACCTACTCTGAGAAACTGTACTCTAATAAAATGGAAAACACAGAAGAAACGGACAGATTTCTAGATACTTATGAATTACCAAAGTTGAACAAAGAAGATAAAAACATTTTAAACATCCCAATTACAATCAGTGAAATTGAAAATGTAATTAAAAATTTACCAACAAAGAAAAGCCCAGGTCCTGATGGATTCACTGTTGAATTTTACAAGACATTTAGAGAAGAACTACTGCCATTACTCTTCAAGCTTTTCAATGAAATTGAAAGGGAAGCAATATTTCCAAATTCATTCCTGGAAGCAAGTATAACTTTGCTTCCCAAACCAGGGAAAGATGCAACTAAAAAAGAGAACTACAGGCCTATCTACTTATTGAATATAGATGCAAAAATCCTTAATAAAATACTAGCAAAAAGAATACAGGGGATCATCAAGAAGATCATACATCCTGATCAAGTCAGATTTATTCCAGGGATGCCAGGATGGTTCAACATACATAAGTCAATAAATGTAATACAGTATATTAACAAAGTCAAGGACAAAAACCATATGAACATTTCAAAAGATGCAGAAAAAGCATGGTGACAATAATCTGGGATACTAGAAGCCTGGATGTAAAGGTGAGTGAGATCTTTATAATTACCTGGTGTTTAGATACTACTAAAGGGAGATACCTGACATGCACAAAGAACAGACCTTAGTGTAGAGGTTAACCAATTCAGCAAGTTTTCAAATCCCAGTGATCGGCTCTTCATCAGAGCTGCCTCATATAAAAACATGCTTTTCCTCTCTGCGGAAAAATACTATTTACCCTAGCCTCTATAGTTCTTTAAAACATAATGTCTGGGAAATAACAGAATAATGTTGGTTTATGTGAAGAAGTAAAATGTGATCTATAAACAAGTGATAAAGAAAAGAACAAATAACCTAGATATGGGAATTAGCAGAACATCAACTATTACACTATTATTATTAGGTATCACAAACAAGTTAAGAAATAAGAGATAAGCCAGACATTATAACCTCAGTACTTTGGGGAAGTCGAGGCATGAGGATTCCAACTTCAAGTCCAGACTGGGGAAATTATCAAATTAAAAAATAAAAAATAAAGTAAAATGTCTCAAAATAAAAAATAAAAAAGAGCTGAGGGTACAACTCAATGCAAAGGCCAGGGTTCAATACCCAGTACCTGAATTAATTAATTAATTATTTTGAAAAGACTAGAGAAAAATGAAAAGATAAAGTTTCAACAGAGAAATGGAATACATTTTGTAGACAAAGTAGATATTCTACAGCTAACAGTCACTACTTAAAATTAAGAATTCACTGGCTGACTGAACACAGTAATAGAAAGTATTGACAGATTGCAAGAGAGGTGAATGCACATTAATCAAAGAAGTAAGAGAAAGAAAGAAGAGGGGTAGGTGAAGGAAGAAGAGGAAGAGAAGAAGAGCAAGAGGAAGAAAATATATTTTAAGAGCTATAAGGGAGGATAAAACCAAATAGTCTAACATACAAACTAAATCCCCCCCCAAAAGGTGGGAAAAAAGGTAGAAAAAAAACTTTAAGAGATAATGGTTAAGCCTTTTCAGAGGGAAAAAGAAATAAAACACACAAAACAAAAAGCTCACAAAAATCAAACAAGATAACAGAGGGAAAGGCTCTTAGCTGTGAAATTAGGGCTGGTTGCCAGGGAAAACAACTGAGCAGAGGTCTGAAACTTTCAGACTTGCTGTCTAAACTCTGGGCAAAGGAGAAAGACTGAATTTAGTTATTCATATCTACACAAAGAAGTCTACGTAAAAACCAGAAAGGATGAGGCTTAGAGGATTTTTGGGTTGGTGAAAACACAGAAGTGTTGGGAGGATGGCACACTCAAAAAAGGGCATGCAAGCTCAGTGCCCGTGCCCCACACCTTGCTCTGTCTCTCTCTTCCATGTACTATTCCTGAATTGTGTTCTTTTATAATTAATAGTAACCTTCTAAGTAAACTATTCTCCTGAGTTCTGCAAGCTAAAACAATCAAACCTGAGGGTCACGGAAACCTTTCAATTTGTAGCCAAATCAAACAAGTTGTGGATCAGCTGGAGATCCACCACTTGCAACTCACACCTGATGGGGAGAGGAGTAGCTTGTGGGACTGCCCAAAATCTTTGGGATCTGTGCTAAATCCATGAAGAGGGTGTTAGAATGGATCAAACTACAAAATATCTAGTTAGGATCAGCAGAGAAAAAAAAGAAAGAAATGAAATGTTGTGGGGGGAAACTCACATGTTTGAGAATGCTGCCATTAGCAGAAGAAAAATGAATTTTCCTTTAGTTGATGTAGAGGAGTTTTCCCTTCAGTGAGAATAATCAAGCAGGGTATGGTGATAAACACTTGTAATCCTAGAACTCTGGAAGGCTGAGGCAGCAGGACTACAAGCAGCCTGGGAAAATGAGCAACTCAGCAAGAGACCATGTCTCAAAAATTTAAAAAAGGGGCTGGGGATGTGGCTCAGTGTAAAGGACTTGGGTTCAATCTCTAAAACTTAAAAATAAATCATCATCATCATCATCATCACCATCTGGAAATTATCAACTATTTAAAACCAATAAATAGACTTTTAAATACCTAGAAGTCAAGAAGAAATCCCATTGGAAACTATAAAAAAAATTCTGAAATAAATGATGATGAATATACTATCAATGTAAACTTATAAAATGCCAGAAAATTAGGCAAAGACTGTAGAGTAGAATATATCCACCATCCATTAACAACAGCAAAATTCTACTACATTTCTCTTTAACATTCTCTCTGAAAATTTTGGCCAATTTATTTACCCTAAAAGCCCTTTGTTTTTTAAAAGCAAAAGAAAACAAAGAAGAACAAAAAATTATTCGTAAACTTTCATTTTGTTTTGTTTTGTTTGGTACCAGGGACTGAACTCAGGAACTTGCACTTGTGAGGCAGGTGCGGTGCCACTGAGCTTAATCCCCAGTCCCTATAAACTTTATTTTTAAAGTTGTAAAGATACTCAATTTATATTGTATTTTCTGTATAAATCCAGATACTCCCTGTTTTTAGGTTCCCTCAAAAAAAAAAAAACCTAGGACTAAAATAACTTCACTTGCTAATTTAAAAAATTAAAAAAAAAAAAAAGAATAGTTTCTCTGGTGTGAAAAACTAAAAGTATAAATTCTATAACTATACACAAATTGTATAACTGATAATGTGAAATAGGAAGAAAAGGGCTAAAGGTGTAAAGGAAGTGAGAACAGTAGGGAAAAGGAAATAAAGGACAAGAAAAAATATGAGAAAAGGAAAAAATGGAAACAAAGTCTGTAAATAGGGGAGGGTTGAGGGGGTGAAGGGGACCAGGGTGTGGGGAAAAAATGAGAACCAAGATCTGTCATGTAACCATACAAGATCCCAAAGATGAATGTAACTGTACTATATTGGTACTTAAAAAGTACCAATAAACTCAATAAGATTAAAATAAATAAAAATAAATAATAAATTTAAGTCTAGAAAATTCTTAATAAATAGATGCAGAGAAACATTACTCTCATTTGTTAGAAATGACTATTTTATCCTTCACAAATTTTTCCTTCACCTAACTGTTCCTGATAAGTATTCAAGTACTCCTGTCTTTAATAGAGTATGATAGCCCATAGAAATAAAACCTTTCTTTTATCTAAAATATTCAATAAAGTGTCAGCATTAATTTTGGTCTCTAAAAGAGCCTATATTTCTAAAATATCACACGCAATAAATGTAGCATAGTCACTTACCACTTGACCTATTTTTGCGACTTGATTTCCCACCAGTAAGAAGCATCTTGAGGCTATTCCGAAACATGGTTGTGCTATTCTAGTACAAGACTGTAAAAGAAAATGTAGGAAAATATGTTTAAAACACTTGATTTTTCTATTCAAGTTATCTCTAAGAATTAATCTTAAATGCATATAACAATTACTATGTTTAAATATACATGTTTGCCCCCACACACACACAAACACACGCACAATCTCTCAGTCAATATCCTCCCCTCAACTTATAATACCTTCAGATTTTCTTTTGGCAAGCTAATGGATATTCCATCTCACAAGACTACTGACATACATAAGTAGGTGTCCATCCTTTCTACATCCTCACCTATCAAAATCCTTACAATAGTACTTTGCAAAACATCTCTCTCTCAAGAAATTTTAGCATATTTACAACATATTTTAGTGTGTCCTGTCCAAAAATAAAATCCAACTCTACATTCCCCCATGGTCCACAGACTGCTCCTATATCTTTGCTCTTTTTCACAGCAGCTCCCAAAAGTGTCATCAGTACTTGGTGTGCCCAGTATGCTGCACAGAGTAAACATGAAGTAGAACACAAGCCAACAGACAATATCCAAACCAACCAAAACACAAAACATAAAGGCTGAAAATGTAGAAAAGAGTACTAGTAATATATGGAACCCACTGAAAAGTGTTTGTAGATGTCTGTGTGCGTGTTTCAGAAGGACTGAGAAAATTAGGAAGAATATTTGAAGTGATAAAAACCAAGAATTTTCTAACAGTAATAGATATAAACCAACTCTTTATAAAGCCTATAAAACACAAGAATAAATACAAAGAAAAATACTAACACCAAGCAAATCATAGCCAAACTACTAAAACACAAAGTCAACAAAAATCTCTAAAACTACTATGTGAAAAACTAAACACAATTAAAGTAGCAATAAACAACATACAACTTTCATCAGAAGTGACAAATAGCAGAATACAATGGAATGACTTCTTCAAAATTCTGAGAGAAAACAGGTGCCAATCACGAAATCTCTTCTTGGATTTTTTAAATCGGTGAAAAGAAAAAATTAAATAAAGATAATTTCAGATGCAAAAACAAAGAATTTGTTACTAAAAGAAATAGAAAAATGAAAGGCTTTGATCAGAAAAGAAAGCAATACTTTAATTTTTTGGTTTTTTTTTTTTTTATAAGGTCTGATTATGCAGTTCAGGCTGGCCCTGAATTCACTATATAGCCCAGACTTGCTTTGAACTTGCAGAGTGCTCCTCCTGCCTCAGCCTCCTAAGTACTGGGTTGCAGGCCTGCGCCACACAGGCTTGCCAGGCAAGTGCTATGCAGCTGAGCTATATCCCCAGCCCCAGGCTCAGCTATGTTTAAACTATTAAACTTAAATATTTTTAAAGTATCAGACTTAAAAATGGTAACAGCACCTAAAAGGCAAAAGTGGAGTCGGGGATTTAGCTCTGTGGTTCCACCGCCTGCCTCAAAAGCACAAGGTCCTGAGTTCAATCCCTAGTAACAAATAACCAAAAAGCAGAAGTAAGGTGAAAAGAATTAAAGTTTCTAAGATATCGTTCATCTAGAGATAGCAGAAACTAGAATTTATATCAGCCTTCAATAACTCAAAAATTCATGTATCTAAAAGAAACAGGTTAAATTCTAGGCACAGTTCAAAATTTTACCTGGAGAAAAATCCCAGACTCTTTTAATTTTTATCTACAATATTTATATTGATATTGCTCAAAGTTTCAAAAGGAAGAAAATATAAAAGTATGGGCTATTAGAACAAATTATTATTTAAAATTGAGTAAGACTTCCTTGAGACTATAATGTTAAGTGAAATAAATAAGACACAAAACTTAAATATCACATAATTTCTCTTATGAGAGAACCTCAGAATAATTCATTTAAAGAGCAAAGTAAGAGACAGATACTAGGAAAGAGGGAGCCAGATCTTCTGCAAATGGCAAGGGAACCAAGACAAGGAGGAGGCAGGAGAAAGGCAAAGGGAATAGAAAGTAAAAAGATGTGTTACATACATGTACCATTTCCCCAGGATGAATGAAATCATTATATATTGCAAATATGCCCTAATAAAAATCTTAAACTTAAAAAATAAAATTTAATAAGGCTGTGAGTCAAAAGAGAGGAACTCTCACATCTAAAGACAAACAAAAATAACATCCTAAAATTCACATCAGTAAAAAATTTTGATGGGTAAATAAATTACAGTAATAATCACTCTTTGAAGAATATTTTTTCTTCCTCTTTCTAAAATATTCTATTTAAAATTACTAAAATAGGTGATATAGCTCAGTGGTGCTGCCGCCTGCCTCATAAGTGCAAGGTCCTGAGTTTGATCCCATTACCAAAAATAAATAAATAAATAAAATTACTAAAATATACAAAGAATGAAATAAAACAGAATATTTAAAGTTAATTACTCACTTCATATTTAAATTCTGGTAAAACTACTTTCTTTCTTTCTTTTTTTTTTTTTTGGTACCAGGGATTGAACTCGGGTCCTTGTGCTTGCAAGGCAGGCCACTGAACCGCTGAGCTAAATCCCCAGCGTAAACTACTTTCTTATTCAAGTTAACATACTAAGAGAAAATTTATTGAACTATTAACATAAGACTCCACAAACTGAAGCTAAGTGAGAAAAAATAGTTTGATATAATTGACCATATTGTCTAACCCAGGCTGGAGATGTAGTTCAGTGGTACAATACTGATCTAGCAAATTTAAGGCTCTGTGTTCAAACCTCAGCACTGAAAAAATACACACACACACACACGTGTGTGTGTATATATATAAAGATATATATAAATTTCATGCTACTTTTCCAAATTTTATATCCACATTTTAAAATGTTACCTCTTGAGAGCAATTGCTAGATAAATTCTTAGAAAGTGAATGTGTCTGGACAGAAGGACATCATGCCATTCATGGTCTTCAATCATTTCTAGTTGTCTTATACCTGACTTCAACATCAAGCTATCTGATGGCTCTTACTTAGCTTTTATATTTGTGATACCTGTTCTAAACCATCCAGGAGAAGTATTAAGATCTTGGGGCTGGGGATTTAGCTCAGTGGTTCTGCTCTCTGCCTTGCAAGTGCAGGGAACCGAGTTCAATCCCCGCACCAAAAAAAAAAAAAAAAAAAAAGTATGAACTTCTTAATGATCACAAAGGATAGAGACTCTGTATCTTATTTCAGATATCTTTTTCCACTAATTCTATTAATGGACAATTAATTTTCATTTTCAACAGTCATCCCTCCTATATTTTTAAAGCCCTTTTCTTAACCTGTTATTAAAGGCAGGCATAGCCAGGTATGGTGGCATACACCTGTAATCCTAGCACTCAGGAGGCTGATGCAGGAAGATTGCCATAAGTTGGAGGCCAACCTGGGCTACATAGTGAGTCCAAGGCAGGCCTAAACTACAAAGCAAGACTCTTGTCATACATAGATGGATGGATGAATGGATACATGGATAGATAGATAGACAGAAAGACACACAAAAAGATAGAAAGAATATTTACCAAATATAAATATTTATATAATTAATGTGATCAAATTAACTATTAAGTACTTCTTTCTTATTCTGATAATCAAGACAGTCCTTTAAACATTTTCATTCTGAAAGCTGCAAGTGTAGAGAAGTAGTAGAGCACTCAACCAGCATGCACAAGGCCCTGAACTTGATACCCAGTACTGGGGAAAACACAAAAAGTTTGTCAATAACAGCTTCACCAAAGGTGTTTACATTCTAACCTCCAGATTTTGTGAATGTGTTACCTGATCAAGGGTCTTTGTAGATGTGATCAAGCACATTAAAATATGGAGATTATTCTGGCTTTTATCTAGCTAAGCTCCAGGTAATTAGAAAGTTTCTTGAAAGATAGAAAGGAGAGCAAAAGAGCTGGGGGATATGATAACAAAAGCAGATAATGAGTAATGCAGCCACAAGCCAAGGAATGCAGACTGCCTGGAGGAGCTGGAAATAGTAAGGAATAGATTTTCTCCTAAAGCCTCCAGAAGAAACACAGCTATGCTAAAATGTTGGCTTCAGCCCCATGTTTTCAGTCCCACTTCAAACTTCTGACTTCCAAAACTCCAATAAAAAGTGCTTATGTTATTTTTAAGCCACTATATGTGTAGGTCATTACACAAGCAATAAGAAACAAATGCAATTATAATACTAGTCAATATGCATAATATTTTGAACCTCTTCCTTTTGAACAGCTCTTTTCATCACCACTTCAAAATGATCCCATCTTTAAAAAAATAAAAATCCTCTCAATGCCCTCCCCAATAGTTCACTGACTGCCACTACTTTGTCTTACAACCAAATTTCATTCCAGACCATATTTCTGAACCTCCAGTATGTTCTAATCCAGATAACTGCCATCATCATCAAGTTATTCCAACTTCTTTTATTTGTTCTCCTTCAACTTTTTTAACCTAATTTTTCTAACCAAAAGATGTCTTTCTGATTCCATGTGTTTTTCACAAATACCTTTTCTCTAAACTAGCTAGATTAGCTCAATCAACTAAAATACCTTGCTCTTTTTTCTCCTTTAAAATGTCAACTATTACTGTTTGACTTAATCCCCAAACATGTAAATGTTCATTATGTTTGCTGTCATCCCTGTATTTGCACATTACTTGGCACATATGAAGTGCCTGAAAGAAAATGAATAAATGAATGAATGGCAAAGAAAAGATAAAACCATGTACTAGAATAAGTCTCAACATAAGCCAATCAATATGCAGCACATGTTTTTAAAAATAAAACGACTATTCTATATTCTGCAAACATATACATGGGTGCTTGCATACATCAGGCACTGCTCTAGGTACTAATCCCTAATACCACAAAAAAGAGAACACAAAACACATGCACACAAGGACAAAAAGTAAGATAAGTGAGATAAGGTTTCCCTAAAAGCTGCACACACACACACACACACACACACACACACACAAATTAAATTAAAACCTATGGTTCAGCTACGTGAAGAGCAGATATTCTTTAAAAAGCAATCTTGATATGCTTTCCAAAATTCA